CTAAAGAATAAAGAGTTTTTTTTTAGATCCGTCACAAAGACAACAGCTCCCATGATAGAAGTATATGTCCATACATTTGGATCAGGATATGCCACATAAAGTCTTGCCACTGTAGCCATATGTATTCTCTAAAATTAAGATAAGTTAAAAAGGATGTTTGTAAAGTTTTGTTTGTAACTTTTATAATAAAGGAAGGAAAAGAGATCTCACATTTGACGACTTTGGCATAAATTTCTTTACAGGTTCCCTGTCTTCAGGGTTTGGGAGGGTAACAGAAACCGAAGGCATTATATTTAATTTTATTTAATAAAAAGATTTACCAAGAAAAAAGACTGCGTTTTTAAGTTTTTACATTTTTATACTTTAATTTTTTATTGTATGATGTAATGTATACAAAGATCATATGAAAGTCACGAGATAAGAGTTTAAATTAAATTATAAATATTAATCTTTTTTCAATCCAAGATCTTTTTCAATCATTGCAGCGGCAATCGGATGATATAATGATCTATTTTCAATAAAGGTTTTCTTGGCTAATTCAGAACCATTCTTGGCTTTATTAAGTAATCTGTAAAATAACTTAATAATTATTCTAAATGAACATACATAAAGTACAAAAAATACAAATTATTAATTAATAAAGTACTTGCCTGTATAAAGGTCTAATATATTTCATTCTCCCCTGTGCAGTTAAGAATTTAACCACATAAGGGAATATAGGTTCATATTCAAGACGTAAACATAACTTTTGCCATCTGAATTTAATTTCCGAATTTTGAACAGCATCGAATGCATAAATTTTACTGAGTGCTTCAATTGCTGAATGAATAAATGCCGGGTATTCATATAAATGATCCAAAAAGACCACTAAAATTTTTTTTTTTAAAAAAAATTAAGAAATAATTATTTGTTTTAATAAGATTTTATAATAGATAATATAAGGAAAATTAAAATTTCTTATCTCACTTTTTTGTTTAGTTGTAAAATTTGCAATATCTTTAGATGAAAATTCGTCAAATTTTTCAGTTTTTTGAGCATCATCCCATCTTTACATAGAAATACCGAAAATCATAAATAATATTATAATATTATTCTTTTAAAGTTTTAACAAATCATTAAGCAGACAAACCTTTGTGCCAAGTCTTTGCAAGCCTTGGCAAATGTTTCATCAAATTTATTCTCGACTGGAGGCTAATATAACAGTAAAAATAGAAAGTTAATGTAATATTTATAATTATTAAGATAATAATAATAGTAATAATGATAATAATAATAATAATAATAATAATAATAATAATGTAGTGAATAAATACCATTCCAGGAGAATGCAGCCAATCTTCCCATTTAATAGTATCTAATAAGGCTTTTTTTTCTATCCCATAATGTTTTTCTACATACGAATATAAATACCTTTTCCAGTAATCCGTAGTAATTGATTTACCCGCAAATTCTTGTACATATGCTTTCATATAAGGTTCAAAATATTCCGGACCTCCAATAACTTTTTGGATATGATAGAGAAAATTGAATCCCTTCTCTAAATAATAATAATAATATTATTATTTACAATAAATAATATATATATATTAATTTTCTTCTAAGGTAACGTGTCCACTCGCATTGTATAAAATTGAAACCCCGAGTTGAAATAAATAATACCATAAGGAACAGTAGAGAAACAATCATCAGGATCAATCCCTTGTAACTTTTGAACTAAGGATGTAAAATTGGGATTATCTTTAAAATGGTCAATATCTTCTTTTAAAGATTTTAATCCGATAATTGCCTCAAATTCACTCGCTTTTTCTCCATATAAACGACCTAAAATAAATAAATCATTCATTAATATAATATTATCAATTATTAATGAAACACAATGATATTCAAATACCGTAAATTTTTCTTTCAATAAAAACAGTCCATCCTTCATTTAACCAAAAATGTTCCTAAAAAAATAAATTATTAAAATTGATTCTAAAATTATAATTATTATTTTGACCAAGAAATAAATATTTCAAATACAAATATTTTTAAAGTAAAATATTTACCCAATTTAATGTTGTTACAAGATTTCCCATCCAACTATGAGAAATTTCATGGGCGACTACATCCACTAATGACTTATCTCCTGATAACAGCGTTGGTGTCACGAAAGATAAACATGGATTTTCCATACCTCCACTGATAACAACCAATAAATAAAAAATAACAAATTAAATGAAAAATTAAATAACAAATAATTTGATGATGTAAAATTTCATCAAATCTTCAAAAAAGATAAAATTTCTTACTAAGGAAAAGATGGAGGTAAAACTAAAAGGTCGTATTTTTTCCATTCATAAGGTGTAAGCAAATTTTCACCAATAGAAATAAATTTTTCCGTATCTTCAAATTCCCAAGCTGCAATATCCAAATATTCTGGTTCAGTCCATATAGTAGATCTAGGTCCAATTCTCTTGCCAACTAAATTACCAACAGCCAAAGCAATTAAATATGATGGAATTTTAACTTTCTGTTTAAATTTGTATATTTGAGTTCCTTTTTCAATATTTTCCTCTTCACCAGCTTCGATTGCACTCATCAAAGCACGTAAAGGTTGAGGAACTTCAACTTTTGCACAATAACCGAATTTGAATGCAGGTGTATCTTGACATGGTAAAAGTGAACGAGCATGAATCTAAAAAATTTCAGAAAGAAAAAAAAAATAAGTGTTAAAAAAATACTAAAAAAAAATAAAAAAAAAAATGGTAAAATTATTAAATTATTAATTATTACTTACGGCTTGGCATTGAGTAAATAAATACGGGTGTTTTTTCCCTGCGGTTTGACTTAGATTTGTTGTTAAAAAAAAAATTAATAAGAAAAATATCGAAAATTTAATTATAGAAATAAATAAAAAACCAATAAAAAATTTTTACCTTGGTTCTAACCATTGAACAGCTTTTCCTTCCTCAGAAGTTGTATAAGCTATTTCTAAACTGAATTCAGTATTAATTGGTAATTGTTTATTCAAATCAATAATCAAAGCAGAACCAAACTTTTCGTCTTGAGGTGCTTTCGTATACTTTTTAAATGGATACATAAAATAACTTTATAAATAATATTTTTATTTTTATTATTGACTTCCTTTATTAATAACTTTATTTTTTTATTAACGTTTATTATATTTTTAGTAAAAAGAATTACAAAAATTTTCATATAAAAATATTCATTTACCTTCAAGTTAACACCCGAAAACAAAACATGTTTAATATTAAGGTGATTAGTGTCAAGAATTACTTTGTTGACATTATCAACAAGAGAAACAAGCTTTAGAACAACGTTTGCATCTATATTTTTTTGTTTGAAATTGACATTGAAGTTCAAATCAATGTGAGTGGTTTGAACTTCTGTAATATTAGACAATGTATTAGGATCATAAACCATTTTCTTTAGTTTATTTGATAATCAAGCAAGCTCTCGATAATCTGACTTGTGTGATCCGTTATCCGTGATCCGTGATCAATGATGTCATTTTCAGATTTAACTTTCAGATTACCGCGATTATTTTTATACTTTATTTTTGATTCGTTACTTTCTCTCTTTCTTTCACTTATTTTCAGTAATGGGTTTATTGGCAAGATTTAAATCCATCTTAATGTATCTTTAGAAAGTCTCTGGAGACCGCTATTCTTTCTTTTCCAATTCCATTACTTCCCCTCAATTCCTTCTCAATTCCTAGTAATGGTCAGATCTTTATAATTTGACATTCTGGTACCACCAAACTTTGATTCTGAGGATATTGATAACATTAAGGTTAGGATGCTTCCATCTCCTTTAGAAGATTCCTGAAGAAGAAGTTTGGGCTGAGTCATAATTGTGGTGTTATTATTCCTATGGTGAAGATCATTGGCCATATGAACAGTCACTTCCTTAAAACTTTGGGGAGTTTAATGCTAAAATTATATTTGGACATTCCTAGGTTGGACCACAAATGTGGAATAAAATATTTTACCAAAAGAGAAAAAGAATTGAGGAAAGTGTTCACTTTGGTCAATGAAATTGAATTGAGTTTGCATTTAAATTTTAAGTAATTTTATTTCCTTCATTTCTTTTTTTCCTTTTATTTTTTTCTCCTTAAAAATTTCTTTTCTTGTCTTTGCTTTATATATTTTGTTTTCCTTTTCATGAAATTTGTAATAAGGTTTTAAATAGAGGGTTGGGTAAAAAACTAAGCAAGGATTACTATTATTATTATGATCATTTCTCCATTGCTATTTTTGAAAATTTTATAATATATTGTTGGTCTTTCTTATCATCCCCGAAAAATGAACCAAACACAAAACTTACAGTACAATATATTTATAATAATAATAAAAATTAGTAAAAATTAGTAAAAGGCACATAGGCACGGGTAGTAAAACTTTTCGTCATGCACACAGGCACCATGAACTTGCCTCAAACAGAAAATATTTTTTAAAAAAAAAAAAAAAAACAAAAATAACAAAAATAATAGGAAAAGGCTTAGTTCAAATTATTATTTCACAGTATTCACAGTTATATCGTCAACTTAGCAAGTACAGTCATAGCCATGAATTAGGCACGGAGTCCCAAACATGCGTCACTAAAAACTAAAATAAAATATATTATAAAAAAAAAAAGACATTTAAATCGTTTACCAGCTTCTTACCTGACCTGATCATAGGACTGAACTTAAAAAATAATATTATTATGTATATTATACCTGCATCCTTGTATCATTTGTTCTAAAAAATAGTGCCTACAAAATATAAAATTTAAGAAACGAGAGGGAAAAGAAAGAAAAATAAAGTTAAAAAATCAAAGTGATATATATACGTGATCCGCGTTTGTGTCACAATTATGATCTTCAATAAAAAGAATAAAATTATTTAACGATCGTGTAACTAAGCTCACTAATTTCATCTTTTTTAAAAAAAGAAAAATGGAATCAACTCCTGCGTTTTTTCGATTTTCCGATTTATTGAGAAAAACTCATACCCAAAATGAACAAAATGGTGCTAAAGGGAAAGGCAAGGCTGTTGTAGTAGATCTTGCAACTAATTTATTGGAAAATGTTAATAAAGCACAAGAGGAATTACAATACAATTTGATTACATTTCAACAAATACTTAACCAAACTCAAGGGTATGTATTTTAAGAATTTTTTTAATTTTTAAATATCATTTTTTAACATTTTTTTTTTTAAAAAAAAATTTTTTATAAAAACAGTCACCAACAATTTGGTACACATGATCAAAATAAAAATCAAAATCAAAATTCAGATTTTATTACATATTCATAAATTAACATATTCATAATTTATTTCTAGTGGAAAATGAGATTAGAGAAATTGAATATGGATATGATATTGATTATAACAATCTCCCAATTTCATATTATTATGAAGATTTTCCTGATAGTGATTCTGATGATACCTGTGAAGCCTGTGAAGAAGTAGTTCAGAATTTCTATCCTGAAAAGTTAGAAAATTTTGACAAGGATTGGTTATTAAAGTATGCAATATTTTTATTTTTTATTTTTATTTTTTTATTTTTATTTTTTATTTTTATTTTTTATTTTTATTTTTTATTTTTTAATTTTATTTAGTAATTTTATGTATTAATAATAGACAATGTGAATTACATAATTCAGCATTTGGAGGTGCATTAGATCCCATTAAATTATGTACCGACATATTTACTATATTAAGATCAGACAAAGATGGTATGAAAAAAAAAAATGAAGACGATGAAATTCAAACGGAACTTGTTGATCTTCTTGGATATGAAAATTTCGAATTTGTCACCACTCTTGTAACAAAGCGAGCAATAATTGTTGATAATATACAAAGTCAATCAGAATTTCTTCTCGAAAGTCGTGAAAATCGTGAAAATCGTTTGGTAAAGAGGAGATCAATAATATTGTATTACATTTAATCAAAAGAATTTTAATAATATTCAATAAACCTTTATAAATTTATTATTACAATTTATAGGAACTTTCAGAAAAAAATAGTTACTCAAGTCTAGGTGAACAAAAACGACCTGAATTTGGTTCTCAAGCTTTTATTAAATATGAAGATGAAGAAAAAGAAAAAAAAAGATTACAAAAAGAGTACAAAAAGAAAAGAAAGCAACTTAATACAGGTAGTTTAATAACATTGAGTTAATAAATTTAATTTAATATATTTTAGTTAATATATGAATTTAAGATTAAAATTATTATTTTATTTTTTATCTTTTTAAGAGAATCAATCAGCAAAGATTTTAGGATTCGATACTGAAAATTTAAATTTAATACGAGAGCAACAATTGCGTGAAACAAAAGATACTTGTATACCTCCACAGCGTGTAAGCAATATTCGATTCATCTAATTTTTTTATTTTTACAAATTGATTTTATTTTTAATAATTAAAATATTTAAATTTATTTTTATATACTATTTTTTTATATATTATTATTATAGACAAAATCGTCAGATAAATTTAAGCACATATATGGGAATACGCAATCCGGTAGCGTGTTATCCATATTTGGAACCAAATTCTCTTTACCGGTTGGTTCAAAAAGAGATGAATTTCAAGTAAATAAAAGATTATCTTTTTAATGAGATTATTTTTTTAATTGTTTATTTATTCTTTATGAAATTCAATAATTAATATTATATTTTTTTAAATTTATATAGGATTATGAGGAAATAACTGTTCCCATGACAAAAACAACTCCACCTATAGAAGGAGAACAACTTATTTATGTGAATGAAATGGATAATCTTTGTAAGGGTACTTTTGAGGTATTTTTATATTTTACTTTATTTTTATCCATGACGAAAATCAGTTATTGGTTATAATTTTTTTTTTTAAAGGAAATAAAATAAATATTAAATATATTTTTTTTTTTAATCTTTTAATAATTTTAATAATAGGATTATAAATCATTAAATCGAGTTCAATCAATCGTATATCCGGTTGCTTATCAAAAAAATGATAACTTGTTGATTTGTGCTCCCACTGGAGCGGTAAATATAATCTTTATTGTTATTATTTTGAGATTATTATTATTTTGCATTAAAGTTGCAATAAATTGATTAAATTCTTAAAAAATTAGGGAAAAACTGATATAGCGTTACTCGCAATTCTTCGTACAGTGTATCAACATTGTACTCCTACACCTTTGTACAATTCTGAACCACAGAATTTTAATATCAAAAAAAATGATTTTAAGATTGTATACATTGCACCTATGAAAGCTCTTGCCGCAGAAATTGTTGGAAAACTTTCAAGAAGATTGAAATGGTTAGGAATTCAAGTTAGAGAATTAACAGGTACAGAAATATTAATCTCGTTTTGTGTGTTGAATATTCAAATATTTATTATTATTTTTTTTTAATAATAAAATTTTTATAATAAAATTTTAATAAAATGAAATAAAAGGAGATATGCAATTAACTAAGACCGAAATTTCTGAAACACAAATTCTTATTACTACACCGGAAAAATGGGATGTTGTAACTAGAAAGAGTACAGGAGATGTTGAATTGACTCAGGTTCGACATTGGGTTGGATTAATATAAATATAAAAAAATATAAAAAAAATATAAAAAAAATATAAAGTGCATAAAAATCGAACTTACCATATTATTAATATTATTTATACTGAATTCAGAAAGTAAAATTATTGATCATTGACGAAGTTCATTTACTGCATGATGATCGAGGCTCAGTTCTCGAAAGTCTAGTTGCTCGGACACGTCGTCAGGTCGAAACAATACAGTCAGTAATTCGTATAGTAGGTCTTTCCGCTACTTTGCCAAATTATGTTGATGTTGCTTTGTTTTTAGGGTAAATTATACTTATCTCTCTAAAATGTAACTTTCAGCTTCTTCATATATTCTGATAAACCTTTTTTTTTTTTAAAAAAAAAAAAAACAGAGTAGATCTCAATAATGTAGCTGAAGGGTTATTTTACTTTGATGCGGGATTTAGACCAGTACCCTTGGAACAACATTATATTGGCATTAAAGGAAAGCCTGGATCTATCGTTGCGAATACCAAATTGAATCGCGTTTGTTGGGAGAAAGTAAGGCTTCGTCAATGAGTTATTTGATTATTTATTTATAAATTGTTTGCTAATCAATTCGTATAATTCGTATTCTTTAGGTTTTAGAAGTCGTCAAAAAAGGATGTCAAGTAATGGTATTCGTTCACGCACGCAAAGAAACTGTTAAGACCGCCAAAGCTTTAATTGAATTGGTGAAAGAGGAAGAATGTGGAGGTAAAGTTCATTCTATCTAGATAGATCACATTGATCGGATTTCCTCGATTTGGTTAATGAAGACTTCTCATTGTCTTTGTATTTTCTGTATGATTTAGAGTTATTTGATGTTTTAACGCATCCTCAATATGAATCAAAAATAAGAGAAGTTTCGAAATCACGAAATAATGAATTAAAAGAACTCTTTAAATATTCTTTTGGAATTCATCATGCTGGAATGGCAAGACCTGATAGATCAATGACCGAACGTTTATTTGAAAGTGGTTTAATAAAGGTTTTTTTTATTTATTTATTTCTATATACAACATATTTTAAAATCCTTTTTATCCAATATTATATATTATATATATATATCTTTTATATATCTTTTTTAAATATGTTTATAGGTCTTATGTTGTACGGCCACTTTAGCATGGGGTGTCAACTTACCAGCCCACGCCGTAATTATCAAAGGCACACAAGTTTATGACACACAAAAGGGAAAATTCGTTGACATATCGATTCTTGATGTTATGCAAATTTTCGGTAGAGCAGGTCGCCCTTCGGTAATATATTTAATGAATTCAAATTTTGTTACAAAAAATTCGAAAGAATAAGATTTATTTTATTTGTTCACTTGTTTAGAAAGAAACTCATGGTGTTGGATATATTTTGGCTTCTCATGACAAACTATCTCATTATGTATCAGCTATGACTCAACAACATCCCATAGAATCAAAGTTTGTATCCTCTTTATTGAATTTTTATTTGTTCTTATTTTTTTTGTTAGAAATCACAAGATTTATTAATGATAATAATTTCTTTAATAATAGATTTGCTGAAAATATAGTTGATAATTTAAATGCGGAAATTTCATTAGGCACCGTTTCTTCCATTGATGAAGGTGTCTCGTGGTTAGGATATACATATCTTTTTGTACGCATGAAAAAAGAACCATTTGTTTATGGGATGTCTCGCGATGATCTTAGTAATGATCCGGAATTGGTATTTCGTCGTCGAGATTTAATCATGATAGCAGCTAGAAAACTTGCAAATAATAAAATGATTTCAATTGAAGATGATCATTATTTTACATCTACAAATTCTGGACGTATAGCTTCAAATTATTATATAAAATATACGAGTATAGAAATTTTCAATGCGAATTTGAAAGATATGATGACAGAAGGGGATATCTTAACATTGATTAGCAAAAGTAGTGAATTTAATGATCTCAAATCTAGGGAAGAAGAATCAAAAGAATTAACGAATTTAAAGAGTTCTCATTGCCATTGTAATATGAAGGTAATAACTTAATCACATTTATTCAAAATACCGATTCTTTATTTATTAAATTAAATAAAAAAATTTTTTTTTATATTAATACCTTATATTAATACTTTTTTTTACTTTTAGTCCACTCCTGATTCAACTGAAGGAAAAGTAAATATTCTTTTACAAGCGTACCTTTCAAGGGCTAGAATTGAAGATTTTGCGTTAGTATCAGATTCTGCATACGTTGCACAAAACGCAACTCGAATTGCTCGAGCATTATTTGAATTGGCTCTAGATCGTAACTTGAGTCATGCAACATCAAAATTGTTAGAAATATGTAAATGTATTGACAAGAGAATGTGGATGTTTGAAACTCCCTTAAGTCAATTTGGTTTGCCCCCTGAGATCATAATGAATCTTCAAGAAAAGTCACCTAATATCGAGTGGATGAGAGATATGCAATCCGCTGAGTTAGGAGAATTAGTTCATAATAAAAGTATGGGATCAACAATTTCTAGAATAGTAGAACGATTTCCGTTACTTAAACTTGATGCACAAATTTTCCCCATTACAAGAAGTATCTTACGTGTAACACTTTACGTAACACCAGATTTTGTCTGGCAGGATAGTATTCATGGTTCAGTAGAACCTTGGTGGATATTGATTGATGATAATGAAAATCCGGAACTTTATCATTCCGAGTATTTCATTTTGAGAAAAAAACATTTGGGGGAAACTCAAAAACTTGGTTTTACCATTGCTGTCCAAGAACCATTACCATCTCAAATATATATTAAAGTTGTATCTGATAGATGGATTGGTGCAGGAAATACTCATCCGGTTTCTTTAAATAATATAGTCTTACCCGAACATTACAATGAACATACTGAATTATTGGATTTAAAACCAATTCCTGTATCAAGACTTAAAGATAAAGTTCTAGAAGAGATCTGTGCCAAACGATTTTCTCATTTTAATCCAGTACAAACTCAAGTATTTGATACTCTTTACAATTCATCGAGTAACGCATTGATTGGTGCTCCGACAGGTTCTGGTAAAACTGTGATCGCTGAACTTGCCATGTGGTAAATATTTTTAACATTTTATTTATTTATTATAAAATTTTAAGGTTTTTACATTTGAATATTACATTTAATCTGAAATCATTTTTTAGGTGGGCTTTTCGTGAATTTCCAAAATCTAAAGTTGTATATATAGCACCATTGAAAGCTCTCGTGAGAGAACGTGTTGATGATTGGAATTCAAGGTTAACTGAACCAATGCAAAGAAGATTGGTGGAGTTAACTGGTGATGTTACTCCTGACTTGAGATCAATTGAAAATGCTGACATTATTATTACTACTCCCGAAAAATGGGATGGTATTAGTCGTAGTTGGCAACATAGAAATTATGTTAAATTAGTATCTCTCGTTATAATAGATGAAATTCATTTATTAGGTGGGGATCGTGGTCCTACAATAGAAGCCATAGTTTCAAGAATGAATTATATTGGATCACAAACTGATAAGAATATTCGAATTGTTGGATTATCAACTGCTCTCGCTAATGCTCAAGATTTAGCTGAATGGTTAAATATTGATAAAGACGGACTTTTTAACTTTCGTCATTCGGTTCGTCCTGTCCCTTTGGATATTCATATTGAAGGATTTTCGGGAAAACATTATTGTCCTCGTATGGCAACTATGAATAAACCAGCTTTTTCTGCAATCATGAGACATTCTCCTTCAAAACCTGTCATTGTATTCGTATCATCTCGTCGTCAAACAAGATTAACGGCACAAGATTTAATTACATATTGTTGCATGACAGAAAATCCGTATCATTTCCTGAGGATGCCTGAAGAAGAATTACAAATGCTTTTAACTCAGATAAAGGATAGCAGTATGAAAATGTCACTCACTTTTGGAATTGGTTTACATCATGCTGGATTAACCGAAAGTGATAGAAAAATTGTGGAAGAACTTTTTTTACATCAAAAGATTCAAGTACTTGTTGCAACTAGTACTTTAGCCTGGGGTGTTAATTTGCCAGCTCATCTTGTTGTTATTAAAGGTACCGAATTTTATGATGCAAAATCTAAAGGATTCGTTGACTTTCCCTTAACTGATATATTACAAATGATGGGAAGAGCAGGTAATATTTTATTATTAATATTTATTCGATACATTATATATTTCAAATATCTTTTTATCTTATCACATTTTTTTTTTTGCCATCCTTTTATTTAGGTCGTCCACAATTCGATACAAGTGGAGTTGCATGTATATTTGTTCAAGAATCAAAACAGAATTTCTACAAGAAATTTTTATTCGAACCATTTCCCGTTGAATCTAGTTTCCATATGCAATTAGAAAATCATTTGAATGCGGAAATTGTTGCAGAAACTATTAAATCAAAAAAAGATGCAAAGAATTATCTTATTTATACTTTTCTCTATCGAAGACTACAAAAGAATCCTACCTATTATGGGACAGAAGATTATTCTCCGGAAGCTAAGGATAAATTTTTATCCCAATTGCTTGATAAGTCAATTAACGAACTTCAAATATCAGGATGTATTGATACCGATGATAATGATTGTATACCAACTTCTTTCGGAAAAATTGCCTCTGTTTATTATCTCTCACATAAGACTATCAGAATATTTCGTAATCAGATTCATGTTAATTCTTCGATTCAAGATCTTTTGATTACTCTTTGCGACGCTGAAGAATATTCAGAACTTCCCGTTCGCCATAACGAGGATTTAATAAATATTGATTTAGAGAAGATGCTAAAATGGCCAGTTCAAAATCATCTTCCATATGATAACCCACATGTAAAAGCGTTTTTGTTACTTCAGGCACGCCTTGGACGTATTAAATTGCCCATCGCTGATTATGTAACTGACACAATGTCAGTATTAGATCAAGCAATTCGAATTTTACAAGCTATGATTGAATTCACGGTTGAACAAAAAATGTTGACAACTTCCCTAAATATAATGTCTTTAGTACAATGTATTAAACAAGCTCGTTATCCCAATGATTCTTCATTAACAATTCTTCCTGGAATCGATACAAGTATGGTTGATTCGATCTCAAATAAGGTACAAAATAAATTATTGTATTTTCTTGTGTTCCTTAATAAATTTTTTAATATCATACTCATTTTTATATTTAAATTTATTATTCCTAATAGGGACAAATAATTAGATGTATAGGCGATTTATTAGATTTATCTGAAAAAGAATTAAAAGATATTTTTAAGAATGTCAAAAATATTCTTGAATCAGAAATAAAACAGGTTTGTACATTCTTATACGAAATGAAATCATCAAATCATAAAGGGAATACATTATTATTCAATTAATATTAATTTATATCCATTTATAAAATAATAAAATATAGATTTGTCAAATTATTTCCAATATTCCATCAATATACGTTTATTATAATCAAGCTGATACAACCAAAAATTCATTTATAACTAAACAAGAATGTAATTTTGAAATTGTGTTAGAAAGAAAAAACATGCCATCAAATTATGATGGGCGAATTTATACACCAAAATTTCCCAAGGTTCAATATGAATCATGGTGGCTTATATTGGGTGATGTTAATACAGATAATCTAATTGATATGAAAAGAATAAATATTCGTACGGGACCAAAAGAAGAAATAACACAAAAAATTACTAATATATTAAAATCCGTTGCTCCAGAAAAAGAAGGCAAATATAAATATGATGTTTTTCTTATTAGTGATGGGTATATGGGAATAGATCAACAATATGATATAGAATTTGTTGTTGAAAATTTGAATTAAATATAAATTAAATTTCTATTGGTCAACCCATAAAAATTCAGGGGGTTGGTATTAATTTTTTTAATTTAATTGTATATTGTAGTTCATAGTTACACAAGTGTTGCATATAAAAATAAAAATATATTTTTTTTTTGCATCTCAGCATTTAATCTCGATGACTATAATAACGAAATTACATAATTTTTCTACTTCTTCACTATGTCATTCTAATAATTTAAGAATGATTTTACCAAAACGTCGATATGCCGTAAACGCTAAAAGCCAACCGAAAATAACATTTTGTACGCGTCCTGAACTACTTACGCAACAAATTATTTTAACGAATGGTGCAACGTACACGATTCGTACAACATCACCAAAACCATTAATTAAATTGATTAAAGATACTCGAAATCATCCACTTTGGAATCCTACTAGTGGTGACAGTGCGTTAGATGTTACAGGTCAATTATCTAAATTTACCAAAAAATTTGGAGAAGAAGTATACGATTTAGATTTTATGTCTTCTGGTGAAGCTTTGCCTGAGATTACTAGTAAAGACATTGGTATTAAGAAAGATAAAAAGAAAAAGAAATAGTATTAAAATTTTTTTTTTTGTGTTAAAAATTTTAATATTAAAATCATTAATAAATTTTTTGATCAATAATTTGATTTTTTTTGACGTCATAATATTCTTGATTACAATTCATTACTTCATTACATATGAGACTAATATACATAAGGTAATAGTCGGGATTATCAGTTCCGCAGATGTGCAGAGATTAGTACAACTTACAGCTTTTCTCTATAAAGCTAGATTAATAGACCATTTGCTTTTTTTTCTCATCGTTCCTATTTTTTGTTATAAAAAATAAACTAGACATTTTTTACATTTAAAGTATTTAAAGTGGAATTAAAAAATTATAAAATGTATCAGAAGGAACCTGTTATTCCTGGACCTAATGAATCCTCTTCAAATGGGGCATTATCAACGTTCGATCCTAGCGTAATACATATCGTTGAAATTATTATCAGACACTTAGAGTTTCTCAACAAGCTTAATTGTATTACTACTGTAACCCTTGAGAATATAAAAGAAAAATTACCCAAACCAATCGCACACGCAGCACCCCACGCACCACCTGAACCTTCGCCTACTTCAATATCGGGTGCAGGTGATAATTCACCTGTTCCTTCAATCTCTTCGGAGCCTCAAAAAAATCCTTCCCCGAAGATAGGTTGTGAAGTAACAATTTTAACTGATCGTTCGTCACAACCTCCATTTCAACAACCTCCATTTCAGCAACCTCAGCAACCTCAACAAACTCAACAAATTCCGATAGTCGCTGAAAATATAAGAGGAGTTTTGCCTTTTCCTCCAAATACTTCTTCGCCTGCAGATCCACCTCGACCCATTGAGCCACCTACTGATAAAAAGAATGAAGCTGTAATTGAAAAAAAAGAACCCATTGAACAGTTACCACCTTATTGCATTTCGGTTGTCGAGGCTTTATGGGATTTAAATGGTTAGTAATTTTCTTAACTGTAAAATTAATTTTAATTTTATAATTTTATAACAAAATTTATGCGCACAGGTGATGACGAAGATGATTTGAATTTTAAGAAAGGTGATACTGTGGAAGTTCTTGAAAAAGGTGAGAGAAATTGATATAGTTGACTAAATATTTTAAATTAAATTAAATTCAATTAATTGTTATTTAATTCATTTTTTTTAGTAAATGAAGATTGGTGGAAAGGACGTATTCAAGGGACAAATGTAGTTGGTATATTTCCTAAAGTTTACACTAAAGAAATGTAAGTTAATTTAAATTCATATAATCTCGACAACAAATATTTTTAGTCTAAAATTATTAAATGAAAATTTCCCTGAATATTTGTTTATTTATCAGTATAAAACCTGCAGTAACAAATACGGCAACAAGTACGGTAACTAATAGGGTAGCAAGCCCCGTAAGTAATTTGGTAACGAGTCCCCTAAGTATTACACCCGAAACAACCACAGTAATTAATAATACGACGTATGATCATCAACGACAAATGAGCCAGACGGCAGTATCACTTCAACATCCAATTGTGAATCCACAACCTCAACAACCTCAACAACAACAACCACCACTTCAACAATTTCAACATCTACAGAATCAACAATTTCAACATAATCAACAACTTCAACAGAATCAACAACTTCAACAACCTCAACTACAACCTCAACTACAACCTCAACAACAACCTCAACTACAACCTCAACAACAACTACCACCTCAACTACAACAACCATCTCAACAACTTCAACAATCTCAACAACTTCAACAATCTCAACAATTTTCACAACAACTTCATCTTCAACAGAATCAACAATTTCCACATCAACGACCTCAACAACCACCTCAACTACAACAACGAACATTAGCACAAGCGCAATCTCGTGGTTCATTTAATGAGACATCCCAGTCAATCTATCAAACTTCACAACCACTACAATCACAAATTCCGCCAGGGCAAGGTTATTTCAACCAAAATTACCGCCCACAGCCACAAAATTCCCAGACACAACCTGGTCAGTTTGTTATGCAGCCAATTCAACAACAAACATATCAAAATGTACAAAACGTACCCACACAACGTAATATACCGAACTATACAGGAGGAAATTGATTTTAATCCTGATGTACATTCATTTTACTACTCCTTTCTAAAGTTTCTGTAAGAGTTATAAGTTGGTTGTGATTGAATCAATTTTTCTTTTTTTTTTTCTTTTATTATATGTCGTCACTTTATTTTTTTATTCCGAATCGCCGAGAATCATAATATTAAGGTAAAGGTAGTTGCTGGTTCTCTGTATCTATAAGGGCGACTTTTAAATCAGATCTTTTATTTTTAGTCATTTAATAAGATTTATATTATAATATTTGGGAATTATGCTTATAGGATTGTTTTGTTATCTAGAAATTTGATCTTCAATAAAAAATTTTTATTAATCACGAAATCACGTGCGTGTAGAATATTTTTGGCAAAGGTATCGTTTTTGATAGATCTAAGGTTATTTTTTGATACATTTATTTTTTGGTATATTGCTACGTATAACAAAAAATAACCATAGATCTATCAAAAACGATACTTTTGCATATTTTTGTCTCATACATATTTTCTTGTCACGACGCGTGTTAAAAACACGAGAAAACAAATACCAAAATAAACAAAATGGTTAAATTTAGCGCCGAAATGTTTGTGATCAGAAGATCAATTATTCTTTCTAGATTATTCTGGTGAATATATCACCATTCAAAAATTTTTTCTATAAAGTTCTCGATTATGAAATTTCTAAAAAGTTCTCCATTAATCGATTTCATTATAAATATTGATAATATTTGTTTTTTCATATTTTTTTTTTTATTTTTCCAGATATTCGTGTTACCATTATTCTATACTTTTATTTACTTTTATTATTATATTATTAAAATTCCAAAATATTCAAAATATGGGTGCTACCTTACATCAACCAAATTTTAGTGATGCTTATTTTCATTGTACGAAAAAACGAACCTATCCTTTAGAAGAAGAAAAAATAACAGATCATATTTTCTTTAAGAGAATCAAAACTTTTTCGACATCATTTTCGTTGCCTAAACTATCATCATCATATTCTCCAAATGTTAGTTGCTTGAATGATAAAAAAAACAATTCATCTAATTTTAGAAATCATAATATAGAAACAAATTTTCCTCGTATAATTGACCTTTCCACAGGCGAACAACTTGAATCAATACCAGAACAAAGATCATTGAAACATTTATTAGAATTTGAACCTCAAGAAAATTTCAATAATACTGATAATGATAGTGACATCAATTTCAATAAAAAATTTCGTGCTTCTGAAAAACCCACGGTTAATTATATAGAAGAAGAGGAAGATGAACGTTTTAATTCCACTATTGATGTCTTGCAAGAACTTAAACTTGATCCAACAATTACTACTATTGATTCTACTTCTTCTGAATTTACTTCTAAAAATGATGACCAAACTGTTACTGCGGTAAATAAAGTTTTCGAACAAACGCAAAATACGTCGATTATTACTAATGATCACGCAAAGAAACTTCAGTTTACAGATAAATATCAACGAGCCTTCTCTAGATATATACGATCACAATTCGAACTCATAAAAGATGAAAGTCACGAAGTGTATGGAAAAGAGACTATTTCATATTATCCAAATCCATATCGAAGTCTCGTCAAAATTCTCAATAACGAAAAAGATAACGATGGGGACGATGGGAACACAATTAAGGCTGAAGAAGGAAAAATTGTTGAAATTGTTGAAATTTCTGATGAGGACACAATTAAGGCTGATGAAGGAAAAATTATTGAAATTTCCGATGGTGACAATGATGACGATGTTGAGATGTTAGATGTTGATAAGGTCAATGGAGTAGAGAATATCAATACTAACGTAGAAAATGGGGTGGTTATGGAAATGGATCTTTTGGGTTATGAACCCTTGAAAAATGAACCTGAAGAATATATAGAATATATGGAAATTGATGAAATGGATATTGATCTTTAATTTCGCGCAAAAAAAAAGAGATACATTTAAAATTTCATTCCTATTAATAATTATAATTAATAATTAATTTAGTTTCGTGAAATTATATCATAATAATTTAGAATTTAAAATTACAGATAATTTGCATTGATTTTTTGTTGAGTCTCTTAAATACCCTTTTTTCTTTTCAATATGGTTTAATTGGTCAAAATTATTATTGCAAACTTTATTTCCATGAATTTAGTTTAATCTTTTTTTAGAAGAATAGATCATCATTTATAACGTAAGATACGAAAGACACTATTTTTTATATTATTATTATTTTTATTACACCTTAATTAAAATAAACCTTTGGATTTCAAGAAATTTATTTTGATACCAAAACATTTTTCATAATTATTTTTCCACAAACGAATAACTATTCAAATTATCACAACTAGTATCGATTGAGACAATAAAAATATATAGACAATTTTCATGTGACATCCATTAGGCTTGTCAACGTGGATGTTTACTAGAGGGGTTAAAGACATCCATTAGGTTTGTCAACGTGGATCTTTACTAGAGAGGTTAAAAAATGCATTTTTTCCTAACAATAAAAAAAAAATACGTCAATGTGGTTTTAATTATGATACATACGTCACATCATATAATAAAAATTACAACGATATAATTATTTTTGCAGAAATTCTCAATATATCGACTACGACAAATACAGTACTGTTTAATACCTCACATTTCTAAATAAAGTGAACCTGGCTTTTATTTCACTTATGTGGAGGTCAATTGTTTTCTAATAATAAATGAAGGATATCAACTGCTTTGAAAGCAAATTTGATCCAAAATGATTACTATACGTCAAACTTTGATATTACAGGAAAGTGAGTTTTCAAAACTCATATGTCATGAATAATCTACTTAAGAGATTTTATATTAAGTCCATTCTAAAAAAGACCCCAATTTATCTTCATTCTAATTTTTTTTTCCATATTCTTTGCGACGTCAAAGAAAATAGTGGAATTTGTTGGGGATTCGTTTTCGAATCAATTAAAATTACCTTCTTAATTTATATAATTAATAATTGTTAAGAAATATTATGTATTTTTTAGGGTATTTATATGAAACAGAGCTTATAGATTTCAAAAGGTTTAAAGTTAAAACATAATTCTAATTAATAATTATGAAAAAATGTATATAAAAACATATTCAATAAAATTTTTTTCAATAACAATTTATTATTCAGACGTCACATATGTGACATAAAAGCATCGTTGTTTTTGTGTCATAATATTGCAAAATTTTTCACGGACGTCCGAATTTAAACGTAAATATCTCGATGAATATCGATGCTACAAGAATAAAACACATATTAACTTGTTGCATAAAATCGCAAAAAAAAAAAGATTTTCGCGTAAATTTATGCTCCGAAAATTTTCTTGATGATCTGTGTTACATCGAGTAAGTATAGTCGTGAACCACATCATTGATTCCCAACATCATTTCATCATGACCGTAATAATTGGTCAAATAGGAGCGGTCAAGTTAAAATAGACTCAAAATTAATGTATGAAAACAAATTTAAAAATGTTGAACATTTATGCGGGTGTATTGAAAGTCTATTCACAAGAACCAAGCAGAAGAAATTCATGTTGCAGCCATTGATTTTGGAGTTCATACTTTTCTTACTTGGTATTCACTTAAAATTGGTCATGGAAACATTAGTGATAAAGATATTAATTGTATTTTCTGTCTAGGTCATGCTCTTAATTCTTTCATTTTGTGCACCACTAAAGTATCAGCAAAAAAATGAAATTCTATGAAACGCGCTCAAGCACGCACAAAGAGACACATTAAAAATTTAGTGGATGAAGTGCATAAAAAACTGCATCATTGTTAACTCAAACTTTTGACATAATCGTCTTATCAAAATCTAAAAGTAAACAAATGTCTAAAAGACAGTCGGAAATATGATGAGTTGGGCATATGCTAGATTTAGGAATTGATTGATCTAAAGCAGAAGAACTTGGTAAAATCGTATCTGAAGCTTATACAAGTAAAACTTGTAACAATTGTGAATATATCAAGAGAAATTTGGGTGACAATAAAATATTTAAATGTGATAGTTGTGAACTTCAGATTAATATAATTATGTAAGTTGATTAGTTATAGTTAATTATAGTTGATCATCCCGAGTAGGAATTTATTCAGATTAACGCAATAACAACAGCAACAATGACAACATCTAATGATCAAGAATTGCAAGTTCTTAGTAACAAATTGATAATTTAAGAAATAATGATTATGCGGATACATTGAGAAGGATTGTCTCTTCCTAATAACAATGTGATATTTGATTATTAAATTTTTGCCCCAAAAATCCTCGTGACGGAAAATTTCCCCTTTATATTCAGTTTAGAAGAATTCGGCATAAGTTAATTCTATTAATTTCGAACATTCATCTTCAATAATATTCAATCCATCAACTATCCGTAATTTTCATAATTTACATATAACATAAAATTGTGTTTTCCAATAGCTGAATCCCAAAATTCCTATAGGAATTAATTTAGTTGATTCAGTAATATTTGTAATATCAGAACGAGAATGCAACCATTTTTTCATAAAAGTAATACCGGATCGGAATAAATTTCATCAAACATCAGTTTATAATTTCTTGTTTCAAATCTATTTCAGTGAAATCACTTGGTGAAGCATATGAACTTTCTTCGTTGTGATATTTTCTTCCTCGATATTCTTCGTTTTGAGAAAGTGGTTTTCTTGTTTATTATCTAAAGTAGTTTATTATTTCCCATGTTTAATTAAAATTCTAAGATGAATTTATTTCGTATGTAATTTTATACAAACATTTTTATCACAAACTTAAATATCTAATACTGTATTGATATTCAAACTTTCGACTTTATTGCACAAATATATTATACAAAATTAATTATCATTAATTCTAATTATCGTCTCATTAAATCAGAAAAGGTTAAAAATTTTAGGCGAAAAAAAGTATTAGCCTTGAATTAGTATTAGTTTGGCATTCAAGTCTACAAATTATTGCTAAAATCTACAAAATTACCTTTTGCCATAAGATAAGCGAATGACAATTCATTACTTTGGTTAAAAAATTCACCAATCGATCACCTTTTACATACTATAATATTTTATTAAAATAAGATATTTTTTTTTACACTTATACATAAATTGCCTATAAAGGATGGATTATTGACTTTCCTTATTGTGTTCGGTTTCAAAGGATAATTATTAAATATATATTAAGACAAATTAAATTATTAAACAATCATTAAACAATCATTATTTGACTTAAAAAATTTAAGCGCTTGTAAAGGTAAACTGAATAATAGTTAATATATCTATATACCAATAACAATCAGTGAATAATATATAGAATCAGGAATCTACAGTTTCCACTAAGAAAACTTATTCTTTTACTTTTATTGAACAAGAAATTTTTAGTGAATCTGAAAGCTGAGGCTTTTCTGCTATAATAAATTATATTTTCATAAAGTTGTAAAGATGCAAAATTTCCCCCGTTTTTGACTAATAAATTTCACTGATTGGTAGAATTAATGATAATAAACATTATTGCTTTTATTTATTCCCCTTCAGCGAATCTTAAGGATTATTGAAATCCTTTCTCTTCATTTTTGTTCACAATTTCTTGTAATAACCATGGATGGATATTCATGAGTTACCCAGAATATCATTTGATCTACACACGTCATTTATTTTATTCGATGGGCGAAAACAAAGACCCCTATGTAGCTCCTAAAGTATTATGTCGAGAATAATAGCTGATAAATAATTCTGAAATTGCAATTCAAATTAACGAAGCTGAAGAATTTGCAGCGTCAATTAATACAACTCCATCTCCATCCAATTATCAAACACATTCACAAGCAACCATCTTGGTATTCATTATATTATATCACAGATGACTACAAACCTTCATAAAAATTAGACAAATAATCCACAACTTATTTGCAAATATTCCTTGCCATACTTGCCAAAAAAAAAAAATTGAAATGCAACCAGCATTATCTGTGTACGTAGTCCTGACATGTATAACCTATCACCTATCATTTTTTTTAAAGTATTTATACATTACTATATGAAATGGCAAAATTATGCACTTATCGATAATAAAATATCTCTAAGTGTGGATAATTTAGTGCTACCTAAGGTAGGGTAAATATCCATTATAGGCCCAGTACTTTGAATCTAATTATATAGAAAAAATGATAAATTCACTTAGATTATACACATGTCTGCAAATAGGCAAGAATAATTTTAGAATGATTTGTAAATAGGAAAAAATTGGCAAGGATGATTTGATCACTTATCTGGATATAAACTTTGCGTATCTAGATCCAGAGCCGATACACTGTTGAAATTCAAGAAAGAAAGTTACAACAACAATTCCTTGTAGGCTTCAAAGCATTCTCGGACCTTTATTCTTAAAGGTAGAATTCACTAAGCCTAGGAATTTCCTTATTCAGGTTTTATAATGTAACTAGGCGAGGATAGATGGCGAAGTTATAAACTCAGTTACAAATTTATTTATTGATAATTTCAAAAAAAAATGCCTTACTTACACACTATAAACGACCAAAAATGGAAAATGAACTTAAAGGAATTGTTGTAATTGTTTTTTTTTTTTTGAAAATCATATTAAAAATGACTTCGTAATAGTCTTAATTTTTAAATCTACTTTATCATTGAACATATATTTAAAGAAACAAAAGAGAAACCTAACATAAAATTTATATCAGTCATATCTTTTTGTGGCATAAATTGCTAAATTATTTTTTAATTAAATTTTTTTTTGTCCAAAAACTCGCGTAACAGTCAATACAGCATTATATTCAGTTCGGTATAAGTTAATTCTAGTAATTTCGAATATTCATCTTCACTAATATTCATTCTATTAGTTATCCATGATCTTTGTCATTTAAAATAGTCTAAACAATTTAGTATAAAAAGTCTTCCGATATTATTCGTAATATCAGAATGAGATTGCGACCAAGATTTCATCAAAATAATAGAACTAGAATTAAGACCCGAATCAGTTGAACTTTGTAACTAAACGGGTAGAATTTGGTCTAGAATAATTAAGCTTCAAAGAATTCTATCCATCCTCGAGGTTTTGTAACTTTGTCTGAATAGTTCGAATAAAATGATTAAATAAAATAAATGCACTAAATCAATAATAAACATATACATAATTGTAAAAAAAAAAAAAATAAATAAATAAATTTTACCTGGAATCTTTTTTTTTTTTAAAAAATAAAATAATTTAAATAATAATTAGAATTTGAATTCAATTCAATTGATAAATTTGGTTTAATTTGCTTACCACTCCCACTTTATTTACCCATTCTTCCTCATTGAAAGCAGTGCTCATTTTTTCGCTATGTACAAAATCATCTATTATTAAATTATATTATATTAATTGTAAATCAAATAAGCTAGGTAAGTAAATAATATAAATAGATAATAATGAAAACCTTTGAAAGGTAATCCTTTCAGAATATTGTTCTTTACATTGACTGGTTAAATTTCCCTATAAAAGTCGATTCCTAAATCACAACTAATTTTAAATAGAATTTTACAAAAATGACTTGAACTTGAAATCATAAATGCAACAGGATTTATTTTTTGTCAAGATTTACATAACTCATACGCAAAAGATCAAGAACTTTGCACACATTTTCTAAATATTCACGTACTGGAGCGGAATAACATTAGTATGTGAGCTTTGTTGTCGATCTATTTCTTCATCGTCAATAGGTAAAACATATATTCTCTTCCTTCAATATATCGATAATTTCCTTTCTGAGATGATGTTTTTTATCTAATTAAAAATTTGGGATTAATTAAATTTATTGATTTAAAATTTAAAACATTTATATGATTTGTTTTTGTAATCAGAAAACTCGAACCAATGTGACAACTCTTCATGATCGAGATCAGACTTAAAAATCAAAAATTGGTAATTATTTTTATATAAAAAGTTTTCATTTACTACAGAAAGTTAAAAATTATATTAAGTAACGTTAAAACGATTTAATTTATATTTTCACTTTCAAAAAAAAAAAAAAAATTTATTTAATAGTTTGGTCTGAAACTTCGATTCATAACGTATCACAAAAAAATTTGACGTACTTTGATGATAATACGTATACAATATACACTGCACTGTTGCTCCAGACATGATGTAAAGAATTCGCTCATTATTAATATTTTCTTCTTCAAAGTTCCTTATTTATATCTCAAAGTTTATTTAAATTTATTTTCAATGCATTGTAAAATTTCAATTCTTTAAAAACTAAGATTAATGCTTTGATTTTATTAGATTCGTAAATAAAATTTTTCATTGCTTTCAAGTTCTTCCGTGATGAGTTTTTAAGAAGACCAAATTATATATTTTCTATTATTATAAAACAATATATATTAATAATGATAAATAATACATAATTGGTAATTACTTGTTGAAAATTTTCCTTCTATTACGTTATTACTAATAAAAAGTTGGTTTTCCCTCCACTCCAAGGAAGATATAGCGAGTGAAAAAAATGTAAAATTATTGTTATACAAAAATATACGAAAAAATATACCAAAAAATTTATATACTATGCTATTTATACTGTATATTGTATAGAAAATAAATATTATATGTAACTTGAAATATACATCCTAGTCGTCTTTTCAGCAATTTTTGTGATTAAAAACTGCGCCTTGCGGAATCTGGTGGCTGTATTAAATTCAAAAATTAAAGGTTTTGGTAAGGTTTGTATCCAGAAAATGGGTCAGGAGTATATATTGAGTGACAGTTGTGGGGCCGACGAGGCCAAAAAAATATCAATTGATAAGAGATGTTTGAAAGATGTCGTGTATATTTCTTTTTCTTTTTCTTTCGATGTCATTGAAAACAAATCTACGAATTTACTTTATTCTTTGACATCGCAAAGAAACATGAAAAAATTAGATAAAGTTTTTATGATCACTTTGTATTACAAATTACGTACAATAATAAAAGAAATTCGCCTAAAAAATCAAAAGAAATTTTAATCGAAAATCGAATGGAGTCAAGTTTATATATCATATGAATTAATTCCAACTCTAGAGTCCGAAGAAATTTCCTTTATTTTATAATGTAATAGCATTTTGTATGAGATAGCGATATTATAAATAGCGAAACCATATCGAACGTGATTTATTTTTATATTCAGTTATTTCTCAAAAAATGTCATCTGATGAATGCAATCAAGAATATACTTTTGATTTTATGTGGAAATGTTGCCAACAACCCAACCATGTAAATCCAAACATTTCAAAAATGATTTTAATAAATGGACAAGTGGAAATGACACTTCATTCAAATTTAATAAATTTTTATTATGTTATATAGTGAAATTTTAAAGTTTACAATTAAAGGAGTAAAAATAATAAAAATGTAATGTGTTGTTGTATATAATTACGGGGGTTTTTTGCGAATATGTTTTATGTATGAATGAATGATTAAAAATAAATAAAAAAAATTATTCCTAAATACAAATATTAAAAAAAAATATATATATTTTTTTTAAAAAAAATAATAAACAATACAATAATAAAAAATCTAATATGCTAAAATATATAATAATAAATAATTGAGATAATAAAGAAAGAGAATAATAGTAAAGAGAATAATAAATTATAAATAGAATAATAAATAATAAATAATCATAATAATTAGAAATTAAAAATTTTAGACATAAAAGCTTCATAAGTGTTATTAAACTTTGTATTTTTATGTCTATTCATAATTATATTAATATCCGAAGCTCTTTCCATATAAGGATGTTGATACATTGTGATATTAGTACTATTAATATTATGTAGACTATTTCTAAACGCCTGAATAGCGGTCATTCTGACCAAAGGACCCAAAACATTTTTACTAATTACCATTCCCGAAATTAAAGGTCCAAATGGAGGTATTTTAGGATCACGATGAATATCGATACTAAATAATCCATTGGATAATGGAGTAACTACAATTTGAGCATTACCAAAATCTCCACCTATTGTAGTTTTTCGGTATTCACGATGATGTTCATTAAATATTATATGAACGTGATCATTTCCTATATGACGTTTCTATATATATAATAATAATTAATCATATGATAAATAAATATAATAATTAATTATATGATAAAATAAATAAAATTAATATAATTAATAAAAATAGAATATAAAAAAAATAATATAATAAAATAATAGAATATAAAAAAATAATATAATATAAAATAATATAAAAATAATATAATATAACATAATATAATATAATTAATAAAATAGAATAACTCATTAAATACCTTTCTTAATTGTTTTATATCAGTTGGATCAGTTGGCATTTTGGTAACATCATGAAATATTATTTCAAGAGTCGAAGTACAATAATAAATTGAGGTTAAACCATTTGTAGAATTTCTTTCTAAACCACCCAAATAACCAGGATGAGTAGCTAAATCAATTTCCCATCCTAAACTGGCCACAAATTCATCATATAATCGACTACCATTAGTATTATGTAATATACATTGTTCATCTTCTTGTCCAGGACCCACATATAATATAGCAATTTTAATTATTTCTCTAGCATGTTTTTTATCTAATAATCTTATGTCACGATATAATCCTGGAGATTTATTAAGTAAACAAATTGAACCATCTTTTAAAGCAGCATCAGGATTTAACCAACCAAAATGACTAAGAAATAATCTACACTGTTGATAAGGTTCAATAGGCATTTCAGCTTCAGGGGGTAAAACAGGTAAAAATGATTTTGATAATGAAAAATCAGCACCAAGAGATAAATGTGAAGTGGTTCTACAATAAAGTGGATTCCTTGATCTTCGTTTAACCACTTTATAATCATTTTCATTAAAAATATTATTTCTTAATGAAATAACATTATCATACCACTTTTGTCTGATATAAGGTGATATAAGATGATATAATTATATTATTATTATAAGAATTATTCATATTTATAATATTATTATTACAAATAAATAATGATAAAATGCTTACGATTGAACATCAGTGGAATTTCCATAAAGAGATTCTTCTTGTATATGCCTATTCAATTGTTCCTCAATATAATTAATTCCCAATTGTAAATCATCAGTTGTTGTATTTGTTGCTATTGGTGAATATATTGGAGATGATGATTCAACTTCTTGATGACTGGGAGTTTGTTGATCAATACTTTAAGAGAAATAAGTTATAAATAAAAAATTATAATAAATGAATTAAATTAAATTAATTATTTTAAAAATTTTAAAAATAAAAATTAAATATACTTACAATTGAAGTAAATTATCCAACATATTTACATATTCAGTATGGCTATTTTCTGTCCATACGGGTAATCGATTTTTCTCTTTAAAAAAATTGGACGTTCTTTTTGAATTCATTTTCGGTGATCCACTCAATTCACTATATATGTTATATAAGTGTGAGATATAAATATATAAATGTAAGATATAAATATATAAATGTGAGATATAAAATGTATAAATGTGAGATATATAGATGTTTATGTAAGAGAAATAATATAATAGGAGATAATTAACTCACGATTTTGGTTTAAAATCTTCTTTATCAATTTTAATATTGTTTCTTAAAATTATATGATCAGCTGCACTATTAATATTAATCTTTTTATCTCCTTTTTTATTATTAGTGTCAATTGAATTCTTATAAAATAAACTAGAATCCCACGCATATCGACCTGTATAATCACGTATTATCATACGCGAAACTAATAATAAATATAATAAATATAATAAATATAATAAAATATAATAATAAATATAATAATAAATATAATAATAATTATAATAATAATTATAATAATAATTATAATAAAATATAATAGATAAAAACATACATGAATTTCCTTCACTATTCGGTATTTCAATTAATGTTATTATCGTTGTATCATTATATGAGAAATAATGATATTGATCTGACAATTCATCATCTCTTGTGTCATTTCCTAATGGTCCAACCAATGTACTAAAGTAATAATCATTTTATTAAATCAATTATTTATTAAATAAATTATTATAATTAATATTATAATTAATATTACAACTATTATTAAAAATTAATATTAATATTAAGATAAATGTACCTATTAATCATCGCTGGTCCATGAAGAGGAGCAAAATTATCAAAATGATGAGTTAAATGTACTAATACACATCCAGCAACATTCTATTAAAAATATATATATATATTTAAATATTTATATGGTTATATTAACAATGAACATTTATACAATAATTTGTAAAAGAAATAAATAAAATAGTATAAAATATAATACCTTAATAAAGTTAGCGTCCTCTACATTATTTTCTATTCCAATCACATGATAATTTTGTTCACCATCAATAGTGGAATTAATTATTATCTTTTTGTCTGCCTTTTTAAAACTTATATTAGAATTTTGTTTATTATATTTAATTTTAAGTGTTGGTAGATGTGTTATTCTTTTACTATTTTTGGGTGAATCAGACTAATTAATAATTAATCAATAATTAATTAATAATTAATTAATAATATAAATTAGAGTTAATTAATAATATTCTCATTAGAGTAATAATAAAATGATATAATCAATAATATAATAAATAAATAATAAATAAACTTACCCCTGATACTTCAAGTGCCAAATCAATAGCATCGAATACCAATTGACATAATTCAGTACCAGTAAAGAAATCAGTTGGAATAATCATTAACCATTCAAGTAAACAATAGAATAATTTCGCTATTATGAATCCTAACAAAAAATATATATTATATTAGATTAAATATATATCTTATATTTAAATTGATATATAAAATGTAACAATAATAATAATAAATTACCTCTTCCATTTCTGGGTGATAATTTTTGTATGGAAAGATGTTCAGTCAATGCTCCAATTAAATAACCAAAAACATCTTGAATAATTATGGTAAATATTTTCTATATAATATTTAATAAATAAATATAAATTAATAAATAAATAATAAATAAATAAATAATAAATAAATAAATAAATAAATATAAAATAATAAATAAATAATAAATAAATAATAAATAAATAATAAATAATAATAAATATAGAATAAATAATAAATAAATAAATTATTTTATTTAATAATAATAATAAAATATTCTTACATCCATATCTTCATTACACCATAAAGAAGAATTATGGGCAAATCCAATTAAACAATCTGCAGCGGTGGTGACTACAGGTAAATGACTTAAATATAATTGATTTAATAATGCTAGAAAGCATTCTCTGATCATATTTGTGTCTGGACTATTAAAGATATTAAATTATTAAATATTATTAAATTATTAAATGTTATTAAATTATTAAATATTATTAAATATTATTAAATCATTAATATAATAAAATAATTCATAATAATTTACCTTGATGTCGCAGTAAGTTCATCAAATGTAAAAGAACAAATTCCATATAACAACATATTATGTGTTTTATAGTTATGAATGGTATTCTCAGTTGTCAGTGAAGAAATCAATGTTTTTTCTAATACTTTTCTCACCTTAAAATACATAATTAATAAATGAATAAATAATTAATATAATAAATAATATAATAAATAATCTAATAAATAATAAATACCTCCGAAAATGGTATATTTTTGAAATAAAAATCCATATCATTATAATTCTCAATATTCATCAATTTTTTATATATTATAACAGGAACTTCAACAGATGATAATTGATTTAACATACAAATGAGTGAACAAAGTATAGTAATAGCATTTTGTTTGGTGATTTCTGGTACATTGTTATAATTATTGCTATTGTACTTGTTATTATAATTATAATTATTATTAATATTATAACTATAATTGTTATTAGTATTATAATTGTAAATGTTATTAATATTATGAATATAATTATTATTATTATAATTATTATTATAATTATTATAATTATTATTATTATTATTATTATTATTATTATTATTATTATTATAATTACTAACATTGTTATCATTACTATTTTTTGAAGTTAATAAATTATTAATAGTTTCAATAAAACTTTGATATAAAATATTATTTCCACTTAAACATTGTGAAAATAATTTAGTAGAATTATTTATAATTGACAATGTTATTAATGTATCGGGATCTGATAATCCTTTAAGTATTGTACAATAAAAATGGGAATAATATCCTTCATCAAAATCATCTTGATCTTGTCTAATACGTGACATCATTTTACAAAGTCCTGCATAGGCAAGTGCTCGACCTGGTTCAAATGCTCTATTAAAAATGTATAAAATATATATACATATATAAATGCATTAAAAAAAAGTATAAAAAATGTATAAAATTGCTATAACGTTGATAACAAGATAAGATGTTATAATGTTAATAACAAGAATACTTACAAAGGTAAATCACATGCTTCAAAAAACCATGGTGCAAATTCATAATGTGATGGAAAAGGAACATTCCCAAATTGATTATTCCGAACCTATAAATATATTATTATTATTATTTACGTACATCTTACAAAGAGTAAAAGAATAAATAATTATCTTTACCAATTCTAACATATCCATTATTTCCACCAAACATTTAATTGCATCCGCATGATTTGAAGTTACTTGAATATAATTCAAATTACCCAAAGCACATAACATATTTTTCCAAACAAATTGAGCACTTTCACTATTCCAAGACAAAATTTCCAAATGTATAAATTCGGGACATCTAAAATTAGCTAAAGATATTGATAATCTTTCACTACTAAAATTAGTTTGAGCAAAGAATACTGAAGAAGATGAAGTTCTATTTGATTTAACTTCGGCAGCATCATCAGGAGTCAGTTCACTATTAGCATCAAAGAAATCATCAACTCCTTCATCATCATCATCATCATCTGATGCGACACTTCCTGAGCGACCGGAATGTCCTGAATGACCTGAATGACCGGAATGAGTAGATGAAGCAAGTCCGCCACCACCACCATTTAAATTATTGCCAACTACAACATTTAATAAAGCTGATCCAGAATTCCCATCTTGATGAATACTATGAGTACGTCTACTATTAATTCTATTATTATTATTATTATTATTATTATTATTATTATTATTATTATTATTATTATTATTATTATTATTATTATTATTATGATTATTATTATGATTATTATTATTAGTATTATTGTTATGGTTATCGTTATTATCAATATTATTATTGTTGTTGTTGATGTGGTTATCGTAATTATTATGGTTATTATTATGATTATCGTGATTATTGTTATTATTATTATTGTTGTTATTATTATTGTTATTATTATTATTATTAGTATTGTTATTAATATTTTCACTTAATGATTTCATAAATGAAAAATCACTTAGAGCGGACATAACTTCTTCACGAGAAGAATTACTACCTGATGATTTATGTCTACGCTCACCACCACCACTACGTAAGGATAAATGACGACGATTACTTTTAGAAGGCTTACGTCTATGATGATGACGTCCTGATGTAGATAATTCAGATAATCGTCGATTTAATTCAACAGTATCAAGATCAACATGATGTACATATTTAGACATAACTTTGGTAAGTTTTAACATTATTTTCTACACAAAATAGATATATATTGTTATTATTATTATTATTATTTTAGAGACAGAGAGAGAGAAAGAGAGAGAATAAATAATTATTATAATTAATTATTTATTTATTTTATTAAAATATGAAGATACTTACAGTCCATTGTGATATGGTTTGAGACCACCTTGTACTATTACTCATTTGATTTTTTAATCTTTGCCATAATTCCGGGCTTTGAATATTTGATCTTGCAAATGCATTTAATATTGTCTAAATTATTATAATATTATTAAATGTTATTATTATTATTATAAATTATTAAATTATTAATTAAATATAAAATTAAATTTATTAACATACTTCAACAAGATAATCAGCCAAATCTTCAGCTAATGATACACAAGAAATAGCAGCATATTTATCTTTTTGATTCATTATCTTTTGTTGAATATCCAAGAGAGCAGATAATAATATTTCCCTTAAATATAAATAATAATAAATAATATTAATTATAAATAAAATTAATTATAAATAAAATTAATTATAAATAAAAATAAATATAAATATAAATAATTATAATTATAATTTAATTAATTAAGTAATTACCAAGTTTCAACTTCTAATTCAATAGGACCTTCAGATACCATAGAACGATATAATGAAAGTACATCACGATATATTGTTACTTGTGATTCTACTTCAATGTTCGTCATTCCATCAAAAGTAATCGCTGAATGATCTTCAAAGACTAAACTGAGTAATTGAATATATCTACAGTAATAATATCAATTGAGTTGGTTAATATTAAAAATAAAAATAATAATAATAATAATAATAATAATAATAACAATAATAATCACGCGATACAAGAGACAGTAAACATACCTTCGAAGATAAATATTGGCGGAAGAAAAAGTGGTGAAAGGTGGGGAAGGAATATTATTTACAGGAGTATTGATTATTGGAGAATCACCTTGCTTATCTGTTGATGGAATTTGATTATTGTTAATTGAACTTGAGGAAGAAGCAGAAAGTGGACCTTGAGAAGGTGACTTTCGAAGAAATGTTGGTCTTTCTTCTTCCTACATATATTTGATTGTAATTAATTAATACAATATAATAATATAATAATATAATAATGATATAATAATATAATAATAATAATATAATAATAATTAAATACTAACTCCACTTAAAATCCATACTCCAACAAGATGTACAGCACCTCTAACAATATCTTTATATAAAGGACTACCAGCTGGTAACATTAATGCTTGCCTAACTATTTCATGAGCAAATTCTCTATTCTCTGGTCCTAATACAATAGATTTTAATATTGGAGTAGCGGGTGAAGGATGTGATAATATTGTATCTGATGAACTATAATTACAATCCAAGCAATGATGTATAAAAAATGTAATTAATGTTCGTAAGATTGTTGGTGGACATTTTTGGAATCCATAATCTAATATACGTAGTGAATTGTTATTAATGATTAATGATAATGTTAATAATTAAATGTTTAGATATATAACGATAAATAAATTATAAATTACTAATAAATTACTAATAAATTATAAATCACTAATAAATTATAATTTACTAATAAATTGTAATTACTAATAAATTATAATTACTAACAAATTATAATTACTAATAAGTTATAATTATAAATACCTTGATCTTCAGGTAATAAACCAAGATTTTTAGCACATTGTGGAAATAATTTAGTTAAATAAAATTTTTTTGATAAATCGAAATGAAATTTAGCAGCAGCAAATGCGGAATCAATTCCCATTCCTATAGCTATTCCATTATCATGTTCAATATTTTCAATTTGAGGAAAATCGTAATTTTCTGATGGTGGTTTTGATCCTGCTGCCACATGTGCTAATCTAACTAATCCATTTAAATCTAATTGTAATAATTGTACTGCATCATTATATGTTGGTGGATGTGGATTTGGAAATAATGGAACTCGATCATCAGCTAATTAAATATTAATAAAATATATTAATAAATAAATTATAAATAAATAATTATAAATAAATAATATAAATAAATAAATTATAAATAAATAAATAAATTATAAATAAATAAATAATTTATAAATAAATAAATAAATTATAAATAAATAAATAAAAATTATAAATAAGTAAATTATATAAAATATATTAATCAATTGATTAATATAATAAATACATTTAATTAGAATTTGTCCCAATCCCATAGAAATATTATCCTTTTTTAATCTTCCTTTATTATTGTTATTATTATTTCCGTTGTTGTGGTTGTTATTATTGTTGTCGTTATTGTGATCTTCGACTCCACAATTTTTTATTTGATCATATAAGAATAAATCTAATGATATTGAATTTGAATATAGATGTATACATTCCGATAATTCAATCGTTTGATCATTCAACCATAATAATAATAATTGAAATCCTTGTACTCGAACACGTGGATGATTTCCATGATCGAGTAAATGTGATAACATTGCAGCTATACATATATTATATATTTATTAGTTGATAGTTAAATTATAATTATATATCTATAAATCTATAAATATTTCTATAAATATAGATATATAGATATATATTTATATAAAATAATTAATTATGAAAATAAAATAAAATACCTATTTGTTTGCGTTGCCAACCACTTCTTATTCGATCCAGTAAATATAAAAATATTTTTCTTAATAATAAAAGAGTTTTATTAATGTTTAAATATTCTTTTGATGAAAATGACATTGGTCTATCGGATTTTTCTATTAAAATTAAAAAAATTGGTGAATAAAATAAAATAAAATTGAATTGAATTGAATTGAATTGGACAAATTTCATGTTATATGTATTAAAATATATATTAAATATAAAATTAAATATTATTTATATTTATTATTCAATAATATTTTATTTATGATTCTCACGTTTTATTTTTTCAACTTGTCCCATAAATGATTTATATATTACATCAAATACCTCTTCTGCATGTTGTTGAAAGAATTGTGCTTGATCAAGTTCATTTGCAATATCTGAATGAATATTTAATAATTATAATGATAATAATAATTAAATATAATTAAATATAATTAAATATAATTAAATATAATTAAATACATTTTTAATATTTAAAACAATTAATAATTAATAATAATATTAATCAAATTATCATAATTAATATAAATTAAAATAAATAATGCAGTTAATATACTTAATACATTTAATATATATTAATATATATATAGATAGATAGATAATAAGTTAACATATTTACCAATAAAACTCCATAATGAAGCAATTCTAGCTTTTGACCTTTGTTTTGTATCCAAAAATATTCGTGCTTTTTTTAATAATTTTTCATCTTTTTGAATGTTTTTGTTTTCTCTATTCAACTCGAATGTAAATAATGAATTTAATCGTGTTGATGATATTGATGAATTAGATGAATGATTTGATGAAAATGAATTTCCATGATATAGTCCAAAACGTTTATTAGTATTAGTGGTATTATTATTATTATTAAAATTAACATCATTAATATTATTATTATTATTATTATTATTATTATTATTATTATTACTGTTAGAATTATTATTATTACTGATAGAATAATTATTATTACTGTTAGAATTATTATTATGATTATTGTCGTTGTCATTATTATTATTATTATTATTATTATTATTATCAATGATATTCTCGGATTCTTCTTCGGCTGTTGGAGTAAGTGAAAATGGTGGTAAAGGTGATACTGGTGAATAATGACCACCAGGAGAACGTGCACCTTTTTTTCTTAATATATTATTAGTTCGTTGTTGTTGTTGTTGTTGTATCGGTTGTATCTGTGATGATTGCTGTTGTAATGATGAATTTAATGATGAATTTATTGATGAATTTGTTGATGAATTATTATGATTCATGGTTTCTGTTTCTGTTTTATTTATAAGTATCTCCGTGAGATTTGGTCTTTGTGAAGAAACTGATGCTCGTCTATGTAAAATTTGATTAATATAATTGGTTGCATTGACTAATGTTTGTTTGGGTTTGGTTGTTGAGTTGGATTCTCCTCCACTTTGAGTACCTCTTCGTGGTCTAGTAAGTGAAACTGTTCGTCTGAGATTTGTGAATGCATTATTATTATTATTGGTTTTTGATGTTGTGGTAGAATTTTCGTCCGGATCCATATCTTTCTATTTTTAATTTTTAAGCCGTTCTTTTTTTTTTCTTTAACCTTTAAACGACAAATTATTATTATTATTATTATTATATATTTATAAAAATTATGAATAATTATTATATTTATGATTATGATATTTATATGATATATATTTTATTATTATTATTATTTTTTTTTTTTTTTTGAATAATGTAATGTATGTTTTTTTTAACTATTAAATAAAAAAAAATAAAAATTACTGTAAAATATGATGGTTAAATGGTGTAACCGTTCGTTTTGTGTTTTATGTTCTTTTATTTTAGTTTAAACTTTTTTGTACATCCCAGTTAATCTTTTTATTCCCTTTGTTGTTATATTTTTAAATCACCATCTCAATTCAGATATGATCGGCATCTATTTATTTTAGTAATTTAATTGTAAAAAAAATTTTTTTCATTAATAAAAAATGACTTTATTTGTATGTCGTCTACAATCATACGCTGCAGTCAGTCTGATCACCAATTAATCATAATTCCCATTTTTGATTACCTACTAAAAATATGCATATTATGTTCATAATACATATTTGTTTTTTCATCTTTGATTATTCAATTTAAATGATATATAATCCTTTCTGCTATCTATTGAACATAATTAAATATTTCTGAAAATTCCTTTATGATTTAATAAATATTAATAAAATATTAAAAATGAAATGTAATATATATATATATAAACAATATAAACAGCAAAGAATATTGTTGGATCGTAATAGAGAAGAAAACGTGAATAATAACATGAATAAATTTTGCATGGCCACGTTTCATTCGAGTATAACAATATATTTTTTTTTTATAAATATTGATAAAACGGTGATAAATGTTGTTGTTTATAAATGTTGATAAATGAAGTTAAACAAGATCAATTATTTGTGTTTCCTAAAAGGTTTATCTATACATAATAATCTCCTGCTAAGCTTGATTAAAAGGTATTAGGAAATCACTTGTTTTAAACTGGTGAAAGTAATGAAACACTGCCTCAAATGCTTCGTTTTGCATTTTATAAAAACAAAAAAAAAAAAAAGTGGCTTTTTCCGAGCCACAAATAAATTATAATGCCTAAATTTAGTAATTTTTATAATGATTTTCTGGTTACATTCACCTACATATTATGGCTGATTTCCTTATCATCATTTTCGTTATTTTGAATAAAATGTAATTTATAAACGATATTATTTCATTGATTAATTATCTATTGTTCTCATTTCATTTCATAAACTTATTACAAATATTTTAAATATTTCTCGATTATCTTATATATATTATATTGAATTTTTATAATTTATCAACTCCCTTTTCATAGATTTATTAATTGAATGTAATGAGTTTATATATGACATATAATTGTGACAAATATGATTTTCACGTAGGTGTGGGTGAGTCAATGAATGAATAATTCGAGTATTCCCAACATTACAACATTACATAATTATTCTCACGTAACAATCGATTATCAATGCATTAATTAATTTGCTTTATTTAATTCAGATTAATGGATTAATGAAAAGGTTTATACCTGGGGATCAATTATTATATACTTATTTATTTAAAAGTACACATTTTATTATTAAGTTGTTTTAGTTGACCATGCACAAAAATTCAATACATTCAATACATTCAATACATTAAATAGTGAATTATTCTTTTATATTTCATATAATACTAAATTATCATTTATTTTTTTAACCAATGATCAATGCCATTTTTTATCTCTATCATTTCAAATTACATAAAATTATATTTATAATTTGCTATTCTTCAAAAACCTTTTCTTTTTTTTCACAACTTCCTCAATCCCTTCTTCAATAATTTCCTTTTCCACTATGTATTCCATTTGATGTTACCCACAATGGACAACAATTTAATCTTTCAAGGGTGATTGCAACTGGAAATTTCTTCATCACAGATCTTGTCATCATGAAATATTTTTGTTTTATTATAAGAAAAACCATACTGATCCAGTCTTTATCATTAAATTGTTTGGAATATTCTCAGAGATGGATGATGAAAAAGGGAATGACTAAAACTACTATTGATTCTGATATTAACTTTTCAACTATAACTGAAGAATTTGTTAAATACTTAGGATAGAAAATCAATGGAAATGATCACGAATTTCAAAATACTATTAATGCAATATCCAGTATTGTTAGGCAAGTATCAGGTAAAAAATCTTAATTTCTCTCTACTAATTACTGGAGATAGTGAAATTCAAGATTTGTTAAGAAATTACAAATGCAATAGTGAACCCATATATTTCTTGTTATCAGCACATCCCATGTATAGCTAAAAGAAAAAAGAGATTTTTATATGATACAGTATCTTCATCTTCATCCTTATCTAAGTTTAGATTTGAGTCTTCTAGTGATAATGAAAAGTTAGTTAATATAGTTGTAAACAGAGTGCTAAGAAAGCACAATTACTTATTATCAAAAAATTTACCATAAAGGAGGTGATATTCTCAGCTCCATTATTTTCTTGTTTAGGTACTAGAATATTTAGTTTATCATTTATTACACCATAATATTTGACTGATGAAGTATATCTTATCTTATGCCTACATGCTAATTGTTGTAAATATTGGTAACATGAATTATTCTTATTTCCATGTATTCTGGAAGCATTATTAGCTCCTATTTTTCTTAGTAAAAATGAAATAATTCTATACTGCTGTTATCTGTGTAAACCTTTTACAATTTACAAAGACAACAGGGTAAAATAATACTAAAACTAATAAATAAAACCAAATAAAACTATAGAATTACTAATCTCAAAATAAAATAATCACAATAAAAGAATTTATGCATTGTTACCTTTGATTTTATCTTTATTTTTATTTATTATTTTTATATTTATTCGTATATGTATTATTTTATTATTAGTTATTATATATTTATTTCTTATCATTATATATAGTATTACAGTAGATCAATTTAATAGTCTGTAGTACAAATTAGATATTATTACTTAAATTAGTAAAATTTCTAAATTCTTGTTAATCTGTAACACTAGAACACAAAGTTAGAGTACAAGCCAGAGTACAAGTTAATATCTCAGTCTAAGTACAAGTTAAATTAACAGTTAAGGTACTATTCAGAATATTAGCATAGTTACTAGTGAAGTTTACAGTCTGATTACAAGTCAGCTTAGTAGTTAAGGAAATTCTCAGCCTTTATATACATTATAATTTTAACTCAGTCTTCAGTTTTTTAATCAGTTTCTTAGTTTCGAATTAGTTAAAATTTATTGAGTAATAAAGTTAATATTACAAAATTCTTTGAGTCCCTTGTTTATGTATTCTTTTGATAATTGCAAACTGTTTGCTCCTATTAACAAGTCTTCAACTACTGTTAATAGTAAATACACCTCTTTCATAATTGATTGTACTTAATTCCTTCTACACATAAACTCTTATATTGTGATTATTTTATCTTGAGATTAGTAATTCTGATAGTTATACTTAGTTTTATTTATTGGTTTAGTATTGTTTTATCCCATTATCTTTGTAAATTGTAGAAGGTTTACACGGGTAACAGTAGTTTTTATAAATTTGCTTAATTTTTACCAACTGCAAAATAAATTATTTAATAAAGCATGACTTCATTAGAATATATAAAAAAAAATATATACTTGACTTACCTAATTCTGGACATGATCTTTAATGAGTGAACAGTTGCAAAATTGAAAGTTATTAATTATTGATATTACTATAGGATTTTATTCTTGTCTATATATTTTTATTGATAGACATATTTGTGAAAAATATTACTATCATCAAGAAGGATGTGCTCTTCATTGAAAAATACCACTGCATATTTCATATGGTAAATGTGATATATTAACTACCTCTTCATATGGCATGTGTATGAAATATGTTGAAAAATATTCTAAAAAAATAAATTATCAGAAAAAAAATCAAATTGAATTACTTACAAAATATAATCATGAAAATGGATATATAAAATTAGGTGAAATACCGTGATATACTGATATAGATTATATTTTTTCTCGCTTCAAACATATATGTGAGAAAGTAGGATTAATTATTCTATATACATTAGTTAGTATTATAATAAAATATAGGACTCTATCATTATCCTTATATTCTTAGAACTGATAAAGTCTGTGATTGAGGTTATAATTAACTAGAAGGATATAAATGTTATCAGAATTCTCTGATATGGATTCCTTGTAAAGAATATGGTGAGTCAACATATTCTATAAATAGTGTATACTGGTACATATGAGTAAGTATCAAAAAAGAGAATATTATTATCAAAAAAAAGCAGGATGAATTATATGCAAAAATTGCTATGCTTGAAAATTATATACCTGACTTATTTGAATTAAGACATGGAGTATAATCAGCACTTGACATTTATCATTATTTTTTTGAGAATTCTCTTAAACAATACTATACTCCTCTCAATACCTTCTATATTTTTTGGTTATTTTATATACCTTGACACTAGCTTTGCTATTACATAAAACTATGAATTTCAAACCTTTAATCAATCTTTTGCCTTACCCATATCCATTTTCCAATAGAATTTCAATAACTACAACTTATTCAATTTTTGGATATATACTGTATATACTGATATGCAGGTAATTAATTTCGATTTGAAAAAAAGATTTTCCATAGTATATATCAGATCAAAATAATTTATATAAAACATCTCAACTATTATATACTAACTATGACAAAAATCACTATATCATTTGTAAATCATTACAAATTGATTACACAAACTAGTTTACCATAGCTTAGTAATTATGTTGAAAAGTTAGTTAGTAGACTTTCAGATGGTAAGACAAAGAAGTAGGCTTGAAAAGCCAGGAACCAGGTCAAAAGATACTTTCAACAGTTGGGATTGAGTAAAAAGCAAGTGGACACTCTTATTTTTATTTGAACTCCTGGGAGATATGTTGGAAAAAGAGATACCATTAAGGTTATTGCACAAAATATTATAAAAAATAATCTCCCACCTGAAGAGATAAATGAAATAGCATATGACTTAGCTTCTTTTGCTTCTACTACTGTTGCAGGAAATTTTCATCTTAATTTATTATGAAAAGAGCTGTACAAACTTGGATCTAATTATCTCATCACTGAGATAATAAAAATATTCTTTATTATTGAAGAAATAAATCAGATTCAAGCAAGAAAATGTATACTTCATAAAATTAATAGTTATGATTGATCTGAGTTCTTTTACTCAAAAAAAGTTTAGGAAAGACTTAACAAATGTGATATTACCAAGCTTTCTTTAATGCAAAATCTAATAAATATAATGATAATACTATATATGCAATCAGCAGATGTGAAAACTCTTTGTATTAATCAATACAGACCATGTCATGAGTCATGATACAATTCTGACTATTCTTGGTATTGTACTGGTTATGTGAAAAATAAAAGTAAAATAGAAGAATCCTGACCATTCTTCTCAATGGAAAAAAATTCAATACATGCAAAAGAATTACTTATCTGGATTTAGAGATGTATATTGAACAAATTTTCCTTTTTGTTAAAAGATAAAGATGGAAATACTAATGTTACAATACTTAATTAGTTTTTAAGTCATCATAAAATCACTTTGTTTATATTAAGAAAAATAGGAGCTGATCATGCTTCCAGAGTGTATGGGGATGAGAATGATTCTCATCATCAAACTTTGTGACAATTGGCATGCAGACATAAAATAGGTATACTTTATCTGTTGAGCATTATAGTGAATGAATGATAGGCCAATTATATATCCAGATTATAAATGTTTCCAAAATTGATTTTAAATTTTTGAGGTATTTTGACTTTTTGAGATTTATGCAGAATTTATTCTATATATGAAAGTAAAAAAAGTATCCAGTTATATGTATCTTTAATCAAAGAATAAATCTGAGTGGTCAAAAAATTTTGAGTTTTAAGTAAAATAATTTTGTTTCTATAAAAAACTATTTCAACTTTTTTCTCCAAAATTGTAATTTTGGGATCTCAAAATAATTTTACGTGCAAGTATAATCTGGATACTAGTTTCATTATTCCAGTACCTAGACCAATTTCTCCTATGATTAAACAAGACTATGATAAAGTATCAAATATTATTGATCTATATAAAGAAACTTCTAATGATGAGAACTAATCGTGCTTCTTTATTCTTGTCATGTATATAAGAATGATACATAATTTTTTGTTTAATAAATTATATTTACCTAATATAGGAAAGCAAGTCAGCCTACCTATCTATCATATTTTATTTTTTCAGCTGATTTGATTGATTAAACAAAGGTAAAGATTTTTTGGCTATATAATATATATCATTCAAAAATGGGAAGTAACAAAAAGTGATTAACTAATACTAAACTACATACTTCCATTATGACTGATGAAATAAGATATTATATAAATCATATTTATTTCAAATTAAGTGTAGTTGTGTTTGAGTCAAGAGATAGAAAGGCAAGATATAAATGTGAATTACCAGAATTTGAGTTCAATTCTAAGTTGGATAACTGTCTTAAATCAAAGTATAGAGAAAGGAGTAATAAATATGATTATAATAATGATAATAGTGATACATCAGATTCAGATTGTTCTGATACTTTAACCAATGATGTTCCAGTAAAAAAGATATATAAGTCTAAAGACCCAGCTCTATCCATTCTAAGCTTAAAAAGAAGTAAAATAAGAACAAGGTACATTATTGTACAAATGTACATAAAGAATTTTCATAGCCTTGACACATAAATTGATCATGTAATAAACTGCAATTATGATAATTAGATTTTTTCCAATTATAAAGCAGATGGAATTGTATAATATTCACCTACATCTAAATTCAGATTCAGCATATCTAATGCTTCTTTGCTAATATTTACACAATATTTTAAATCAAGATATTTTAGATTTGATAAATTATGTGTAATATCTTTGATAGTTATATCAGTTATAAGTTTGTAAAAGTCTAATTCAAGATCTCAAATCTTAGAACACATTTTTGCCAATTTAGAAATAGACTTATCAGTAATGGATTCTGATCCATAAAAGATTGAGATTTTCTATATTACAACATGATTGTGTTACTGCTTCTACCACTGTATCTGTAACATGACAAAATTTGAGGTTGAGATAACAAATATTTGAACATGATTGCACAATAATACATATTGTTTTATCATTAAGAGATTTCAGGGAATTAAGTACAAGATGTTTCAGATTATGACATCATTCTATTTGTCTGATACCTATATCAGTTACTTTATCACAATCACTGAGATTTAATTTTCTCAGATCTGAGTACGAACCTATAAGATTATAAATTGTGAAATTGATAAGCTTCTTGCAGTTATTAAAATTTAAAGATTGGATATTGAGATTGAATCGTGTAATTTCACATATAGATTTATCAGTAATACATTTTTTACCTCTGCTTATTTCTAGATACCTTAAATCATGATACGATTTCGCAATTTTATAGATAGATCTATTGGTGATATTTCCGTCCCAACTAATTTCCAAATTCTGTAATTTAGGGTATCCTCTTACAAGTTCAATAACAGAATTATTGATTAAAATTTCCATTGTTAAAAACATTAAGGTAAATTAGATTAGGATATGCACGAGAGATTTTGATTAATGCCCTATTATTAAATCAACTACATCATTTAAAATCCAGATGAATTATATTTGGAAATAATTCAATTATCTTTTTAATTACCTTGTTTGAGAGTTCATGATAGTAATGACTAATTTTGAGATATCGCACACTTGAAGCATAAACCGGCTTTGTATTCTATCTAATAATTTCATAAACTTTTCAGCTGTGTTTTAAATTTTTCACTAAAGTCCTTGCTTCTTATCAATTCAATGTGATACCATAAAATTGAATCAGAACACATGGACTAGAGTCTAGAGACAAACAAGGCACTTTATCTTCAGCTAAGAAATCAAAATTTTTGTTAATAGCTTGGGTAATGCAAGTGCCATAGTAAATGTATAAAGACATAATGAAAAAATACTTATCTTTAATTCGTCTGGAATCTTCGCGATTCTTTCTTTACCAGTGCATTCGTGAAGTAAAATTTATGGAAGAGCTTTGGAGAGACATTTAATTGAGATACATGTAACATACCAGCTTGTGCTAAATTATCGAAAATAGATTTGGCAGATATACTTACCTCCGTATTGGTCTGATCATGAAGATTTTCTTCACAGTTTTTTATAACATGATCTATAATATTTTGAATTTGTTGGTAACTGACTTGAATTAGCATCTGCGCTATGAGAAACTAGTTTAATTTTCCCTATTCCTAATGTGTTAAATAATTTATATAATTTTCTAGCTCTAAGGATTTTTTGACGCAAATTCATATCAGTAATATCAAGTAAAAGTTGTTTGATTTCTTGATATACTATAGATGTTGCAGTTTTTCTTTTAACTCCACTAATAACAATCTCATCAATTTTTTTGTCATATTTTTTGATAAAATAATACCAGTAAAGTATTCCTTCTTGTCTTGATTTAATGGCTTTATAAAATACATAAACTATGCTTTCCGCTGTAACTGAAGATGATTCCTGAACTTGAAGCCATTCTGAAGTTATGAAAGTAAGTATAGATGTTAACAGTTGTTGTTTTAACCTATCTGATCGGAATAAAATAACTACTATTCAATTTGCCTCAATGAGGAGAATCTAAAGGAAGTTATTTTATTTGAATTGATTCAATATTGATCAATATATTTACATTTTTGTAT